TTTATAACATGTTACATTACGTCAAATAGTGCACGAATATGCTATAAACCATTGACTCAAAACACTCACCTTAAGTGGATAAGTAGCGTTATAATTGAAAATTAAATTTTATCTGCCAACGGATGCAACAAACTATAAATGTTAACAGTAGTTACTGCGATGTCTCAAGCTTTCGTCCTACTTCATATAAAAACATTACTTTCTCTCACTATTAATATCTTTAAAGTTTTGTTCTGTTTCTGGTAAAATTGTAAAGAACGATAATTTCAATACATTCCCAACGTAAGAAGTGAGATGAAATAGATCAGATTACCACAAATGACCAGAGAGTAAAAATAAAGCCAAGAAACTCTCAACTATGAAACGGGCCATCGAAGTGACCGCAAACTGGAAACCGCGAGACCACGAAATTGAATTCTTTCGACACACGAGTGAGGGATCGACTCGAAACACCCATTCGCATCGCGTGGGTGCGGAAAAACCAGTCGGCGACATTTCTTCTCAAAGATCAGACCGCCAGATAGGCGTAATTACTTCGCAAGTGGAACGGCGAAACCAGGATCAGCGCGGTGCCTTGAGACGCAAGAAAAAAAAGTCTCCCTCGGACTGATCCGCCCCGGGGAAGGTGTTCTGCTAGTGCTAAGGACAGGGGCGCTACGACGGAGTGATCATTTTTAATGACGAGTTGTTTCGAGAATGAAATTATATAACGTGAAAGAAATGAAGTTCTACAGATACGATCATTAACCACCAGGTGTTGAGTACTCTACGGTTCTCCAAATACACACGACGGTTTACAACAACCACAAATCAAGGAGTTTCCTATTGAAAAAGAAGTGCTATAATAATCAAGGACGTTTGAGATGATCCCTGGTTTTTGATAATCTGCTTCAATGAATCTGTAGAGTGCATATTACAAATGGAATATCTGTAATTCGATGGAATTTAAAACGCCTAACTACTTATGAAACCAACTTTGTTAAAAGACCAATGAACATTACCCAACCAAACACGAAGAATGTAAGTGCTTAGAATGACTGCAAGTGCTCTTTCTATCAAAGATACGATCAATTATATTAAGATTGAAGAACTACCGATGAAACTTGACTGGAAAGTAATGGCCTATATTTTAGAGATAATGCGTATATTAACTGCTGCAACATTCATATTCGAGATATATTACTAATGATTACAGCATAAAACTAACGTAACATTTCAGCTCGATCACGTTTTCTAGAAACAAAAATTAACAGTCTTCACATTTTATGAGTACTGGACGGTCATGCGTATTTGATTTCGAGTGAGCACAAGCAAAAAAGAAAACCGAATTCCGTCTTGGATATAATGTGAGAGGGGTGGCCTTTGACATACAGAAAACACACTTCTTAGCTAAGATTTTTATAAGAAGAAAAACACACAAACGTCTGGTGTAAACAAGTGATCTTACTTTTTTAGATTACTTGCTTAATTGATCTTTTACAACATAATGCAGAAATTTTGTACCATATTTTTGAAAAAAGACTTCAAAGAATGAATAGCTGTTGTCAGTATCTTACATCCACAACTGCATTAGATCGTTTTGGAAAACCAGTAGAAACTGACGAATTTGCGAAGTCCCGAAGTGAACTTAAACCATGAGCTTCCGAAAATCAAACCTTCATTTATTCAAATTTTGAGTATTGAACGTTTTCTTCACATTTGTAAGGTCCTTTTCCAATGGGCCTATGTTTTATCAGTACTATGGAAGAACCATGGAGGAAAAAAAATACTTATTTCTGATTCTCTATCATAAGAGTAGTGCCACCTTGGCAAATGAGATGAGAAAAAGAGAGGGAAAGGAAAACGACCATGAAAGAAAGGAAACATGAAGGTAGTGACAGAAACTGAAATAAAAGCTGAATAGACCATGAAATGCATGAAATCATGAACATAAACATGAAGACGAGGCGCCGGAAATCTTCAACAAAGAGATAGCAGAAAGATGAACAGAAGGTAGAGGCTGAAAGGAAGACTGAAGGAAATGAATAAGGCAGAAATGGAGAGAGAGGGATGAGGGGAGAGGGATGAGGGGAGAGGGATGAGGGGGAGAGGGAGAGAGAAACTAATAGAGAAATTCAACATGCTATCACTTAAGACGTGCACAACATAATGACACATGAGAAGGAAAAAATGTTTCCAATAGGTTACAACTAATCGGCAACTGTCCGCCAGCCACTTTCACCGCAGTGTCGCTCTCCGCGGGCGGGGGCCGAACAGGTGAGTCACCGCGCGCGCGCCCCGCGGCAGCTCCGGTCACTCCGCCTTCGCCCGCGCCCCGCCCACGCCCCGCCCACGCCCGCGCCCTCGCTCGCATTCCTCCCGCGGCCGCCGCGACCACATCCGGACGGCGCCCCCGCCCCGCGCGCCGCGAATACCCGCCTCGCGGAAACGCCTAGGGGAGCGGGGTCGGTGCGTGGAGGGAAATCCACCTCCCCATGAGGAGAGAGGTTAGATTAGAACGAGGAGAGAGTCAAGGGGAATGACGAAGAGAGAAGAGCGGAGAGAGGAGCGCAGGGGGGAGGGCGGAGAAAGGAGAGCGGAATGTGGAGAGGGGTGTGGAAAGTGACTGCAGAGATAAGGAGTGTGGAATGTAGAGAGCAGTGTGAATAGCAAAGGATGGAAAGCTAGTGTAAAGAGAAGGAGTGTGGAGTGTAGAGAGCAGTGTGGAGAGCTAGTGTAGAGAGAAGTGTGGAGGGTAGAGTGTAGAGACTGTAGTGAAGAGAGCTGTGTGGAGATTGAAGGATGGAGAGCTAGTGTAGAGAGGAGTGTGGAGGGTAGAGTGTAGAGAGTTCAGTGAAGAGAGCAGTGTTGAGAGCGAAGGATGGAGAGCGGGGTGCGAAGAGCGGAGTGCGGAGAGTGCAGGACGGAGTACAGAGAGCAGAGTGTGGAGAGCGAACTGTGGAGAGCGGAGATGGGGGCGGAATGTGGAGAGCGAAAAATGAGGAGCTGACTGGATAGCCGAAAGTGGCGAGCGTAATATTGTGAGCGAAGAGTAGAGAGCGTTCATTAGAGATCGAAAAATGAAGAGTTGACAATGAGGATGGGAATTTTGTAAAGTGAGATACACTGCCTCGGTAATTCTTCGTTAGTGATACATTACACAGAAATGTATAAAATGTTATGTACATGTTCGGTTTTCTGAATGGAAATTGAAGTTCAAATCATTTTGAACAGCATCATTTGATACACCTGATTCAAGCTAATAATTTTGGAATTGGCTTGCTTCCCTTCCATTAAATATATCACGTACACAACAACAAAGTAATTAAAAATAATATTTATTGAAAAGAAGAGGAATTTAATTCATTACGGCCAATTTTACGTCAGCAGTGAGTCTGAATCATTATGTGCGATAACATAACTCAAACATTAAAATGTTTCTAAAAATGGATCTTTAATACGTGATATCAAAAATATACTATTTTACTGACTGGAATATGGTTTCTGATTTATTCTTTTACACGGTTGCTACATTTTTCGGCAGCTTCAGCTGTTTTTTGTTCACAATCTTAAAGACAACCTTAGTAATTTACATTGCTCAAAAAGTACTGGCCGTTCATTCTTTCTAGTATTAAGAGTACAGAATTATTTCAAAGCTATTCCAAATATCTTCAAAACTTCTAATTCAACTTTCACAAAATTATTGGTCAATGCAACTTAGTGTTTATATTTACGTAGTGAAAGTATGCGATTAGATGCGATAGAAAAGGAGTCATTTGATATTTCCATTTAATGCTTATCATAATTTGAACACGAATACTTATGTGGAAGGACAATAAAAGTAATAAAAAGTGAGAAAAGAAGCGACTTCAAGTTTCAGTGATAATTATGTTCTTATAATGTATTTATTTCACCGAAACAACATTACCTTCACATGTTGAAGAACAAAACGCTTTAATATCTGCAGAGTATCGATTCGTTCCAAACACGAATAAAATGAGCGAAATTCATTCGAAACCACGCAATAGCTTGATGGAAACAAATGCGTTCGGGGCGCGCAGAAATACGACAAGCGTGCAGCTCGTTAATCAAGCGGGCGGGCGTGGGCGGTGCTCCGCGTGGGGCTGTCGCGCGCAGGGCCGCTGGTCCAGATGCGCGGCCCCTGACAAGTCAATCCCGCAGGCCACTGCGGGCACCCCCGGGCCCAGCCGACTGCGCCATGACACTGCGGTCGTCGTGCGGGCTTTTTAGCTTCCCCGACTACCCTTGCGCACACTTTTTTGCTGTCAAAATGCGATGTGAATGAAGACATAGACTTCGGCGGGGGAGACAATGCGGTTTTGGCGTTCGGGGTCAGCCCGTCTTATACGGAGCTGCTGACACTTCTGTGTCTTCTATGGTTGCTCAGTCCCGTACGTGTAGTCCATGTTGGCCCCTCAGGAGGAGGCGGTGATCTTCCTCTCACTAGTGGGGGTTCCCCCAACACGGTATCTCCCACCAGCAGGGCACCGCCGCAACTGGGACAAGTTCTAAGCTCCCAGCACGTGTGGTGTGAAAGCGGTGAGGATAGGACAAGGAATGGGAAGAAAAGATAGAGCGCGGTTCGTGAGCCATTTGTTGGAGTACTGCTCCAACATATGCCTGGTGTTGATTGCAGAAACGCTGGAAAACTACCGATCAGAGCAGTCGGCCTCTAGAATTCTTCTCCAGACAGCGACTGAAATCAATGCAACTGACATGCCAGTGTCGAAAATCTTGACACTTTCGGAACTCGAACCTAGGATCTCCCGGTCGGTTTCCCCTGTCATAATATGAACGTACTGCAAGTAAAATTTCTTAAATACAAGGGAATGCATTTCGGTCGGCTACTCGCACCGGAGATAGGACTTCGAATCAAAGAGAAAATAACTCAACTTCAAACTACAAAAACTGTACTGGAAACTAGGCAGAAAATCTTCCTTCCCAGACTCCCTTTCTACAAAGCCTTTCCCAAATCAATATAGATTTCGTTTCCAAAAATTTCAGTTCCTGGACATAACCTGTCAATTCAATAAAAAAATTGTTCAAAGATCCCATTCCAAATTCCTCGGAATTCTATTTAATGCACCACGGTATATTTTCAATAAACTTTGCATAATCACTTACAGGCGCCAGCGGTGTACGAAACAGTCACACATTTCAGTAGAAAACTCCAAGACAGATTCCAAGAACATCCCGTCTAATTGCCCATCATCCTGAAAAAAAAAAATAGATAGAAAAATTAACCAATCGCTATATTTATCATATAGATTTGCCACATAAAATCAATATAAAGCAACAATCATATTAATCTTGTATTATAAGATATACTAATGGGCGCATCTACCCCATTAGATTATGAAAAGCGTATTACTCATTTCACTATCTGTTCCACAGGAACAAATTGTGAATACAAAAAAGGCAATTTTTGAGTTTTCGCAAAACTTCATTAGAAGCCATTTGAATCATATTAATTTCAAATTTAATAGTGATCACAAATTTCTGGAAATGTGAATATTAATGGCGTGAGAGATCTGTCAAAAACTTACATTTCTGTAATTTTGAAACTACAAAAAAATACCCAAAAATGAACTCTACGTCACATAAAAGAATGCAATTAACTCTGTCCGTTTGACGTGTTTGAAGAAAAAAATTTTAGGTGTTTTTGAGAAAATAGCTTTTGAGCTTTTCTGAAAATGCGAACTTTTGAGTTGTTTTTTACAGAAAACGGTTGAGTTTTCAAGAAACTTTATATGACATTACTTAAAGCACATATATTCATAAATACAATAATGTGAACAAACCGTCGATAATGTAAATATTAACGACGTGAGAGACAAGTCCAAAAAATTAAATTTTTAAATTTCTAAAAAGCAAAGGAATAGAAAAAATATGGCGTTTATGTCATCTCATCACACAATAACTACTAAAAGTTTAAAGAAAAAAATTGAGCCATTTTTGAGAAACTATTGTTTTTGTTATATATTAAAATTGCACATATTGCACGCAATACTACGCGAAAACTACTAAAAGTTTTAAAAATGTATATGATCTTAAATTAACAACTCACTAAGGAGAACAAATTTTATTTGAAGGAAAAATCTCCATCTTCAAATTGAAATAGTAGTAAGACGCCCAAAAATTGTTTAAAGTTTGCAATTTTCGAAAATTCAGAATTAACCGTGAAAATCGAACATATGCCACCTTTACAAGTGTATTTTACTCTATTCTTACAGGGTAATTTAAGATACATAACTTGATTCAGTTGAAATAGTGCTAAAACAACTGAAGTAGAGTGGTGTAAATAGATTATTTCTATGAAAAAAATTGCGTAGTCAGCGATGGACATTTAAAATTCTTATCATGTAATTGCTTTTGTCATTTTGTCTTCGCCGCGTGTAATCCATTTATAGAACTGTGAAATATGGTGCAGAAAAACAAATATACTCGTACAAAAATGTACTTATGAAAATGAATTTCTAGCATTCGTAGAATAATAATGTAATGTATTATTAAGTATTTTCAATAAACGAAGAAGTTATTAATTTACTAATTAGGTATTTTATTTATCTATATGTAACATTTACAGTATCTACATGTAACACGCTGCGAAACATGTTGAATCGTTTATTTTCTTGTTATTGTCTCTGTACTCAACACTTTCCATAGGCAATTATATAAAGCTGGAATAGAAAATGCTTTAGAAATAAATTTTGACTGAGATTTAAAGTCGAATTTTGATGAAATCACATTTTTTAAATACTCGTAAAAACTCAAACTGACACTGAAAATGATGTTTCGATGTAATGCGTACTTACACGAGTCTATGCAGTTTTTTGTAATTTCATATATTGCTTTGAGAGTTGATTTACAGTTCAGTTTTGAAGATGCTGACCCTTAAATTCCTTGTACATCAACACTGTGGCGATATAATATATTTCCATCCTCAATCTTACGTAATACGATAAAGTCAGAATGTGTTCCATGCAGCGCAACTTGAGAAAATAACACTCTCTTGAAGGTTATGTGGAGAATACTGTGAGTTCAATCCACAAACTATTTACTTTGTTTACTATTGGCACCAAAACTGCCACAATCACAACCCCAACTTTTTTTCCCTTCCCTCGAACATCATAACGCCCACTCTGCGATCCAACTGCCTTTTACCGCCTCACGTAGCGCTTACTCTTCCGCCGCCGCCGCCGCCGCCGCCCGCCGCGCAGCCCGCGCCCCGCCGCGCAAATGGCTCGTGCGCCGCTCCTGCTGACAGTGAGTCGCTGACTCGTTTCCGAGCGCATTCGATCTGATTACGCTCGTCAGAGAGAGCGAGGGGACAGGGCGAGGTAATCGAGTTTCCGAGCGGCCGATCTCCCTCGCCGCCCACGCACTCTGCGCTTGGGGGAGCCCTCATGGGCACAGTGGGCACTGGGCAGCCTGCCTCAGCCTCAACGCAATGGTCCAAGTGACAAGAGAATAACGGTTCCAAAGATATGGAAAGGACTAGAGGAACCCGGCAGACGTTGTTCTGCCCTTCATCCTCTTCTTTCTCCTTCCCTCTCCCTTTCTCTCTCCGTCCCTCTCTCTCTCTCCCTGTCACTGACTCTCTCTGTCGTGGACCCTCCCTTTCTCCGTCTCTCCGTGTCTCTTACTAACTCACCGTGTCTCCAGTAGAGAAATAGCAAAATTAACAGCACGTTAACCTTCTGTGTGAAAAAATAAAATGTGCCAGCTTTCATGGAGATCTGTCACATGGTGTCGGAGTTTACCGCTCTTATATATACCAAAATCCATATATGTAATGTAGATAGAATAGGGAGAGAGATCTACCATAAAAAGTGTGGTGTCAAAGGAAACGGTCGGGAGAGAGTGAGAAACAAGAGATAAGAGATTGAAAGTAAGGTGGCTCAAAAAATATGATTAGAATATGTAGATAATATAGCAAAAGTTGTTAAGCCATTTATTTGGTTCATTTTAAAAAGAAGCTTCTGATTAACTAAAAAATAATTCTTCGGTAGTTCTAATAGTTCGTTACTGGTTTAAAGTATATTAAAATGTTAGATTTTTTAATATTAATTTTCTTCAAGTTTCTTTCTCAATCTCCGGTCGAATGAAATGCTTCAAATAAACACACTATCTAATATTAGGTACACTAACTGAGCAATTGAATCAAATACAGTATATTCATTTAACTATGAATTAAATCATTAAGATGTTTCAGTAACGAATGTTGTTTTGAATGTGCAGATGAGATGAGTATTTATATTATTCTTGCATCTCATCATCTATATCATGCTTGTGAGAGAAGTACTTAAAATGAACCGGAATCGTCCAATTTCCTGTTTTCAATATTTCTCCGTGCATAAGTGTGATAGAAACAGATTTTCGTGAACTGATCGTCTATCTTATTGCTTTCTTGAAGGTAGGAGGTTTTCGATATGGTTCCAATGACAAAATGACGTGACACGACCACGTTTTTTTTAAAGGTGTTCCATGTAGAATAACATGAATCTCGGAGATCAATGAAGTTTTCTAAAAGTATTTTTTTATTATTTCAGCTTTCAAAGTAGAATGAGGTGAAATGAATAGACTCGTTGCTTTACTTCACATTTTCAAAGTCAATATTGATCGAACTTGGTGTGATTATATAATTAGACAGTGGAACATTTCTTTTATTCTGAACGAGTCACTACCGTCACTAACATTATCCTATGACTCTTTCCACCATCATGATCTAAATCACTTTCTTCGTTAGGGACCATGACATTTGCCTCTATATTGTTCTCATTTGATAATGATAGATAGATGGCTCGTTAGTCTACGATATCACTATCAGTAATGAATGAGTATCACTCCGATGTGTCGTAATCTTAGAGTGGAAAAATGAATGTAGAAAATTGGAGTACATGAGAATCCTTATCAACGCCCTTCACATGGACCTAAAACAGAACTACACGACTTTAGTAAAACACTCAACTAGAGGAGTGTCACGTTTGCTCTTTATGGTGATACCATGTCCATCGGAGCCCTTAAACAGTTAAGTCACGTTTGCGTGTTCCTAAATGTGAATAATCGAGAGGAATGTTGCGCTAAAAATAGTTGTATCTTTTTGAGTTCTTTGTTGGCACGAAAGGAAGGACATGCCATGACATTCAGACGTGAAAATGTTAGGAGTACGAAAATACCTAAGATGCCTTTCCGATGGCTGTCGGCATCGAGATGATGATTCAGAGCATACCAACGAGACGCGAACGTGCTGCAGGTGGATACGTGCGAAAGACTGCATTCTAAGATGCAACGTGACCTTGGCTTATCTTATCAGAGCGAAATCCCCCTACACGCAATGATCTGTATCGACGAGGAAACAAATTAATCGTAGTATTACCTCAGTGCGTTTTTATAATCAAAGCTTTATTATCTCGACCTTGAAAATGGTGCTTACAGCCGTAGAGAGATCTGAATATAAGAAAATATCGGTCTATTTCTCCAACTCGAAGGTTTCATAAAATAGTTTTCAGTACGTATCGTTGTATTTTAGTGTATGTTTTGTTCGTCAGCCTTAGAGTCTGTGATAATGCTGAATCAACAGCGACTAGTATTTCTGGTATGCTGATAGGCTTCTTCAAATCTATTCTTACTGATGAAGTAATTAATAAAGCACTTAATATGCAACTGCCTCGTATATTCGAAAATACGAATATTCGATATGCGAAGGGAATAAATTTAGCGTTGTTCGTAATGAGTCACATTGAAATCCATTCTTTAAGTTATGTGAGATTATTACAAACTGCTTGGTAAACAATAAAAAACGTACAAATATTCAAAAGAAGTAACGTATTCAGGATCGCTTTGACACACAAGTTAAACAAAACAATACTTAATTCTTGCCATTTCAAAAATTGAAATGCAATTTTTATGCCAACTATATAAAACGATGATACTCATTTGTTTCGATCGGGAACTGCAAGTCAACGACTTTGCTCCAGTCATCTGTCTCCGGAGAGCAAACTTGAGTCCGATCATCGCAAACAATTCCTACAAATATTTACGTCAAAAGATATGTAGTATGAACTTCTGTGTGTACCTCCCTTTCCACTACCATCACCTCATCGCGTTGACTTCAAGACGCGTGGACAAGCTAACGTCAAGTTCAAGTTCAGCTAAGAGGAACTGGGAAGAAAAACCGAGGGGGGATCACACGCTCTTTATATGAAACTCA